ATTAAGAAAGGACACCGTGCGGAGAGGTCATGGCTCAACTGTGAATGTGTTTCTTTTGGTGTTTATCTTCGGGACATTTGACCATTGATAAGCCCTTCTGGATTTTAAATTTCAGTTGTGGATTTCATTTATTTCAGTTGTAGAGTTTGGAAACTGGGAAAGAGTCAGAGACCTCTTCTAGGAATCATTACTAGAGTTGGGTATGAACCTATGGAATAGGAAAAGGATAGATCAAGGATGACCTTTTATCCTGAAGCTTTCACTATGTGCAAAGGCAAATGTAGAAACACCACATTAGTTTGCTAGTGCTGCTATAACAAATTATCAACAGATTGGGCATGTCAACAACAAAAAAAAAGGTGCATTCCCAAATCTGTAGGCCAGTACTTCTAAGGCTTCCTTCTTGAGCTGTGAGGGTAAGACCTATCCCTTGCCCCTCACCTGGGGTTATTCATAGCTGTCTTTGTGTTTGTTCCTCTTTTTCCCCACTATGTATGTTTCCTCATTTTACAAAATACCTTTTACAAAAATACCAGTTATATTAAATTAGCTGTCACTTTAATGAACTTATTTTATTTTTAAAGATTTATTTTTACTGTCTGTGTGGGGTTTTGTGTGTATGGGTGGGTTGGCAGGTGGAGGTGATGGGGTGGTTCCCATGGAAGCCAGAGGTGTTGGATCCCCTGGAGCTAGAGTTCCAGGGAGTTGTGAGCCACCTTATGTGGGTACTGGTGTCTGAACTTCTACAGGATCAATGCAGGCACTCTAGGCCAAATGAACTTACTTAAATATAATTAGTTCTATAAAGAACCTGTCAGGGATAGAGAGATCACTCAGCTATTCAGTCTTCATTTGATTCCCAAAATAACCCATGTTTGCAACAAAAGAAGAAGAAGAAGAAGAAGAAGAAGAAGAAGAAGAAGAAGAAGAAGAAGGAGAAGGAGAAGGAGAAGGAGAAGGAGAAGGAGAAGGAGAAGGAGAAGGAGAAGGAGAAGGAGAAGGAGAAGGAGAAGGAGAAGAAG